CAAAGGATGATTAATTCTGTATTTCTTATCTTTTGGCTAACAATACAAAACAGTTACAGTGTAAATTGCGGAAATGTGAGCCATCTGTCTGACAAATGCATTTAGTGACAGCTCTGCTCTGAGCCTATTCAGAGCTATAAAACTCTGTGAGGAAAAAATAAACCCATGGGCATCAAAAATCACTCAAAATTAGCTGATTCTTTATAATTTTGCCTATAAGCTCTCTGCCTCACTTTCCCTAAATGTCATTTACATTGCCTCGAAAAAAAAAAAAAAAAAAAAAAAAAAAAAAAAAAAAAAAAAAAAAAAACTAGGATATCACCAAAAAAAAAAAAAAAAAAAAAAAAAAAAAAAAAAAAAAAAAAAAAAAANGAAAATTCCATAGAAGAGTTCATCATTCTGCCTTCAGAGAAAAATTTAAATAATATTCAATAATAAAGGGCACTGAATAATATACTGGAAAATACTGAATAATTGCTCAACAGGTAACAGCCAGATATAATTAATTGCAAAATTTCCAGTTCATTTCTAAATATATTTTTAGAAAAATAAACAAGCTTTTGAATATCTGGGTAACAGTTATATATTTTTTCTCCAATTACAGTCTCATGCAAAACTTACTTTAAAATAAATACATAATGACATTACAAAATGCTCCCCAACTTTGCAACATTCTTGTTTAATGAAAAAAATTTTCAATGCAATATTTTAATGAAATTTTCCTATGAATAGTGAGTTATGCAGGATATGTGTACCTCACTCTTGATTAGTGATGTACTCAAATTTCTCTTCCACCTTTCTAAGAATGTATTATTTATTTATTATTATTTATTATTTTTACCTGCCATTGTGAATATTTTGGCATTTTTAGAAAAGCAGTTTGAGCTAGTAAATTTTTAATTACCTTTTTTATGTCTTTGGATGAATTCTAATCTACATTAGCGTATGCTTAAAATAAACATGAATAATAGGACTGAAAAAAACTCTTTGGTGTTTTGTTTTTAAACTAAAGTGAGGGCATAGCTGTAAACATCAAGAGTGTTTCTGCTCATCAGTGAAATAAGAAACAACTCCTTCTTGCAGTGTTTCTTCATTAATAATGATTCAGGCTTTCATGAGACTCCTCATGCTTTATGAGGAGTAATATTATGTAACACTATAAGCCAGCAAGATTTCTAAAACAGTATTATCTGAAATGATGTAGCTGCATTAAACTCTTTTATTTTTATATATTAAGAAAGTCAAGTTATAACCTAAAAAAATACTAAGACAAAATTTTATAAGTGGTTTTGTGGCACTATCTGTAGTAAAGAAAGTTTATACTTGGAGTGTTCAGGAAAAAAATCCTACAAATTTTGATTTGGAGAAACAATCTGACAGAGAAAGACTTAGATGAAAACAATTAACTTATCAGCAGACCTCTTGGGAAATTCTATCATGGAAGAGTTTATTAAGAAATGGGTCATACTGTATCAGAAGCAAGCCTTTCAACCAAGATCAGGGAAGTTTATAAAATAAATTTCTATACCTTAATTGGAAGACAATAGCTTGATATAGGAAATAATGAATCAAATTCTTTGGGGGGTATGTAGAGGTTCAGACAAGATGATTAGAAAGTTTCCCTAGGGCTGAGAAGTTTTTGAGCCACTTGTCAAAGCATAGAGTTTCTAGTTCACTGTGTGTTTCAGCAAAATAATATCTAATACGTTGCTAATAAGTGGAGTAGATTTTGCAAGACTGCTTAAGTCTACTTTGACACTGCTGCCATGGAGGCATCCTGATGCTCAGTGAAGCAGCATTAAGTTCATACTGAGTGCTCCTGAGAGTTCTATCTTGAAGAATAATGAACATTTTAATAGTTAATTTGAATAGTTAGTTGTCATTTTTATGCTTTTAAACTTATGCTATAGTGATTTAAAATTTTATTTACATTCTAATATCATAAAAAATAACAAAATATTTTCAAGTTGGTGATAACTGCCCTTGTAATCATCTCTTACTGAACTAATACGACCACCAGAGACTGGTGATTAATAAAAGGATAAACTGGAACAGGAAGAATTTAGTCATCAGGTAAGTTTACCAATATTAACTACATTTTTTCTTTCTAATCAAAATAAATCACTCTTTTGATAAAGCAATCCACTTAGAATCACCAGAAGGAAAATGCAATGCCTCCTAAAAGTTTTTGAGAGGATGAATATGTTGCACTTTCTTCTAGTATAAATATTTAAAAGGAGATGAGGGGAATCTATCTACCAAATATTGTTTTAAACTTAATTTGGATTTTCATCTGATCCAGTATCAGTCTTTGTTGCATGCCTTTTTCCATCAACAGTTTCTTGTTTTTACCAATTATAAGATTTTTTTTTTGTTGGCAAAATGTTGGCCTCATCACAAATCCAAAAGAAAAAGTATAAAATTGTATATAAAGTCCATTATGGCTGAGGCATATTGGGGAAAAGGAGGCTGATATTATTGATCTATACAAATACCTCAAACAAGGTTGCAGCAAGGTAGGGGTCAGTCTCTTTCCCCAGGATAAGAAGAAATGGCCTCAAGTTGTGCCAGAAGAAGTTTATATTAGTTATTAGGAAACAAATCTTCCCAAAATGGGTGATAAAGCTCTGGAATAGGCTGCCCAGGGAAGTTGTAGAGTCATCAGCTCTGCATGCATTGAAACATCATGCAGATATGGCACTTGAGAACATGGCTTAGTGGTGAACATGCTGGTGACACTTAAGTTGTTACTTGGACTTGATGATCTTTAAGGACTTTCCAAGCATGAATGATTCTATGGTTCTATGATTCTATGAATTAAAACTCAATTATTGGCTTGACTAAGTAACACAAACACTATTTTTATATTAATATGCTTTTCAAACTCACAAATTTTGTTGCAAAATTTTTGTTTAAATTCAATAGATAAATTAATTATATAATAACTAAACTTTAAATTTAGCAATTTAAATTAATAATATAATTTATATTGCTAAATCAGCAGACTTTCTAGTTTATTTCCAGTGATCCTCAGGACTTGTCCAGCCACTACACATACAGAGCTGGAATTCCAACCCACTCAACAACAGTCATTTGGCTCCTGCATCCTTGCTAAATTAGTGCGAAGAAACTTGAGCCATAGTAAGCTCAACCACATCCTGGGACTCTTCATTAATAAAACATTTACAGGACTATCATGTCTTCCAGTTGTTTTCTTTTATGTTACATCAAAACGCAAGAAAAAAACCCTACCAATCTAATTTAAATTGACATGAAAACTTTCTCTGATTCAAAGCTCCCAACAAATTCTGAGGTAAGATCCTTTTTATCCAAGCCAACCATCAAATGGATAAGAAGGATTTGCAGATATTAAATTAACCTCTTTAACTATATTTGTCTGTAATGTAGTGTAGTCTTGACACAGACTTTTGGGAGGTATAAAAATTGTTCATCAAAAGCAAGTACGTGGTGGAGATCAGTTCTTGATTGTATCCCTGTGTTTTATGAGAAACTCCAGACACTTTTGCCCCTATGTCAATGATCCCTCCAAAAAAGGCTGCGGTATGGGGAAAGTGAATTCTGACTACAATCCTAGTGGAAATAGAAAAAGTGTGAGCCAGTGGAGAAAAAGATTCTTCAATTTTCAGGCCACACTATCTTCCCGTGCTCACATCCTTAAAACTGATAGAAGATAATGGCCTATCTGTTTGCCATGAAAAATCTACATGGTTCAATTTGGCTTCCTCATGGAGCACTTTTATATACTGATTATTTTTTTCTCCTCAGTGAATCTCTTTCCTCTATTTCATGCAACAGAACTGTGTCACACTATTTCCCTAAAGGTAAAAGTGTTGTTTTATTCCTACATTTATAGCTATAGACCTTTCAAAAAGACAAACTTTTACTGAATGAACTGCAGCTGGAGGTTTAACTTTGTGTCTGATGTAGTAATAATTAACCTAGCCTCCTCTGGCATCTAATCAGGTCATCACAGTTTACACTGAGTGCTGGTTGGCTTGTCATTTTTCACCTTAGTTTAGCTTATCTAGATGAGAAGAACTCGCCCTTGTATTTCTACTATATTCCACTATTTTTTCGTGATTACTGCATATATAAACACTGTGAAAACTATAATTTGAAATCTGCAAACTTACTAAGTTTTATTTCTATTTCTACTTCACTGGAAAATGTGGTCCATTCTCCTCTTGAAATGGTGTCCCATAGCTGTGCTTGTATTTAAACTTTCCATGTATGTTGAAGAACTTTATTAATGGAAATACTAAGTTTTTAAGGAAACTTCTTCTTTTACTAATAGCTTTTTTGTCATCCTATTTGCAGCCATTGATCATGTGTGTTTTCTAAGGGAATCTCTTTATTTTACTTTTTTTACAATAGCAATAGTGATCAGTGAACAAAGCAGTATTTATAATAGATAGCAAATATTCACTTTTCACAAAAAATCTGACATTCTTAAAATCATCTTGTTCTTTGACACATAAAAAGGGAAAAAAATCAAGCAGCCAAATTAAAGAGTTTTAAAAATGGGCATTTCTGAAATTTCTAGTTATCCATTTTTTCCCATTGACAATACCACATTCTGTTATTGCAGGTCTTGATTCACAGCTTCAAATAAGCTTTGAAGAATATAATAGAACAGTTCTAATTAAATCCCCAAAACTCACATTCAGGGATAAATAATAATCCATCAGCTATTTCATTCTCTAACAGGACCCAGGAGAACTTGACAGTCTTAATCACTTCAGCCATTTATACCTTCATTTTCAGCTTTATTTCAGCTGAGCCATTTAGTGGTGGTTTATCTAAATTGCAGTATCTTTTTTCTAATCACACTTCATAGCTGTAACACAGAAAGTAATTTCAGGTGCAAAACAGAATATCTCTGAAGCACAGACATCCGTGGCATAAGCACATTAGAATGAAAAGTTACCTGTAACTGAGTGATATTTGTCTCTGTAATGAGCTGAAGCATTGAGGAACTGTGCCTGTAGTAAAATTAGGAACGACCGGCAGCAGCACAACAGGATTCTAGCTTGTTAAAGAACATTCATTATTACACGGGGAAGCTGTGGATGACAGAAATTGTTTCATTAATATAAACAAAGTTTCAGCTATATCCCAGCATTCCTACAGGTGTGTGAAAAGTCAAAGTAAATACTCATATAGTTACAAAACACTAATATCAACGCTGGTCGAGGGGTTTTGGCTATCTTGAGGGTAAAATAACATTCATATGTGTTTTTAGATATCACCTTTGGTATTGTATCTTGTTCTTTTAAAATATTTTCTTCATATAAAATATAAAGGTACAATTTATATTATCAAATTCCAACCCTAAATATCATTATGATTGTATCAAATTAAAATTAACATTAAAAAGGAGGTGAAATTACTTGGGATTTATTATTATTATTTTACAATTACAAATTTACTATTTTGTCAAAATAGTGACCCTCTTTTTTCTTTTAAATTAATTTTACTCTATTGGTTGTATAGATTAATATTTCCTTAACTTTCTACTGCCAAACTTGTGCAATGATGACCTCTGTAGTGGCATTTATATATTTAAAATTGTACTAATATTATCATTAATAATTTTTAGTAATAATAATTAATTGAACCCCAGTAATATTAATACATTTCAACTTGCAACTCTTTGCCCAGTATATTTTTTGTATTTCAAGGCTGCCAAACGAACTTCTCTAAGTATACATTTCAATCTTCAAGAGCATGAGAATATAAAAGCATGATATTTTTTCAGAACAGACAGCTCACCAATTTTCATGGGCAAATTAGTTAATCAGAGAAAAGTTAAATTGGATGTTGACTTCTTTGGGTTAGTATTTCACCTTCAGCAAGCAGTTCAAAGAGTTGCCTCCCTAAATAACTGTGCCCTTGTACACTTTACATCATATTTGTACACTGTGAAAGTGACTAAGATGCTGAAGTAGAAGACTACAGAAGTCCTGTCAAGGGTTCATGGTAGAAGCACACCTCTTTCCAGAACACACCCAGGCACCACAAAATTAATGGAGAGGAAAATTAGGTAAACTATTAGGAAATCACATCTGTCTAACAGCAGAGAAACTAGTAAGACCTAAGTTGCATACCTTTAATGCCTAGTGCTACATGCCTTTAAACTTTCTAACCCTCCTTACAAAACAGGAATGAATGAGTGTGTCATCTTAGTTTCCAAAGGTGACATTGTTTTGAAATTTTGTCAGAAACACTCTCTGGGTGCCTGAGTATTTCCTGCTTCTACTCACTGGGACAGGATATTTCTTTGGTTGTATAAAAAAAAATTTCTTATTGCTCTGGAGCAGCAGATCAAACTAGCTTTTACAGTCACCTCTTCAGCTGCAGGGTGCTAGATAAATTAATGTTGAAAAAGATGCAATGTGTGTTATAAGAAATATTTTTCACATTATTTGATAGAACAGGCAAACACCATATTTTAATCAAGCTGCCTTAAAAGGACTTGCCTTTTAACAGATGATTTTCAATAACTGATTGCAATTAGCACCAATACATTAATATAGACATTTACAAATACTTTTTTGAATTGTTATGTACAATTGTATGTATTTAATCTAATATAAAGCAAGCTACTTTATTCTAAGGCACTTGTGGCTGTGAAAAGAAAAGAAAAAACCACGAAAGAGAATTGGTCTACTACTAGTGTCATATTCAAGTAAAGCAGGAATGGTTATATAAATTCAATGACAGCAAAACATGGCCAGCTACTTCAAAAATTTTACTTTGTGATTAAAAACTATTTATAAAATATGCTTTGGGAAATGCAAGAATTGCAATGGCATGATGTGTAAGCCATTAAGTACTATATGGAAAGAGGCAGGTGTTGGTGCATTTTGCTAACGCTTAAATATTTAGCATGATCATTAAATTTTATATTTCACATATGCATACATTTCCAGTCAAGTGAATGCATGCAATAGAAATTTCAGTACTTGTCCCACATATTCAGTTCAGGAGAATCTGGCCCTTATTGCTAGTGAATGAACAAATGAATGAGCAAAAGAGCTGCATAAGTATGGATGGTGCATCTAAATCAAGTGAGCTTTAGTAAAGAAAAAACAAATAGAGATGCAAGTGTTGCTGTTCCCTGATGCCTTTTTAAATCATCACGTCCCTTCTTGGAAAACACTTTGAATCTTTCATTAACACATTTTCAGATTATTTCTTTTTTCTTAAGATATTCCTTCAAAATTCAAAATAGTTTAAAAAATATGGTTGGAAGATTAATGCAAATTTATGCATAAGACAGTTCAGCAGATTTAGCATCTCTAAGTTGCCAGTTTATTCAAGTATGATTCAACAACAAAGGATGATTTAAAGCTATATAAAGCTATATTAAAAGCATATATTTTATGAATGTAATTTAGTAACAAATTCCACTCAGGAAGTTCAAAGATTCAGACTCTTTAGTTTCACAGCTCTCACAAGTACTGCAGGTTCAATCAGATTACATGGCTCCAAAAACATGTAAAAGCTTGCTACCTGTGCTTGTTCCTTTGAGTAGCCAAGTCCCTCAGCGGCTGTCAGAAATAAATCAAATATATTTTCTTCCCAGCAGAAAACTAACATTATTTATACTTCAGTCCACAAAAAACACATTGAGGCTGCATCCATGAATATTCCTGAAGGTTTCCTAGCCCCTGAAGGTGGGTACCTTAAAAGCTAGTTGAATTTGCTGCTCCAGAGGTAGCAATTGAGTAAATAAGAAGCACAGTTTTGTACAACCAAATAAAATCTTTTCCCAGTGACTGGAAGAAAGTAGAAAATATTCAGCCACCCAGAGGCTGTTGCTTACAAAGTTTAGAAAATGGCTCTTGCCTTTTTCATGGTCCTTCTACCACTGAAATGTGAGAAGGATCATAAAAACAACAGTCCTGTGCCAAGGGCAGAGAGAGCGTCAAGCTGCTTGGCTGATCTTGACTAAGTACAAGCATTTTTTATGTTCTTACATTGTATTGATCTAAGTATTCTTTTAGGAAGTAACTTACCATTTAATTATTGTCAGTAATAAATTTGATTTAGTGTTGTCTTGATTACATGATTTTTTTCATTTTATTTAACTTTTTTTATAAACAAATCTGCCTTTAGTAGTCCACTTGATTGTGAGATGCATTAAATGAAATAGAATTTGAATGAGGATCCTAGGAGAATATCAGTTGCTTTATGACCATCTTCTTACTCCTCTAGGGTGATTCAATGACATTCAGAGTCATCCACAGCTGCTCTACCTCCAGCTGAAGTTTTATTTTAGATCTATGATTTATGTTAAGATTTATGTCTTAATTAGGATTTAGATTTATGACTTAATACCACATTATCTGCCATATTCTTCCTTCAGAAAAAAGAAGACAATGACTGAAAAAATTTGCATGGTCTGGTTAGGTATTTTTTTCCACAGTCAGTCACAATCTAGGTTTTTGCCTTGACTTACATAAGTACCCACACACAGACTTTTTGATCTTTACTTTTTATAGCAAAATAAAGAACTATTTTATAGTATTTCAGATTTCTAAACAATATATGGTTTTAGGATTAATTATCAAAATTCCATTTGTACCCATCAAGACAAGGAACTTATTTTTCAGTAAAACCTGAAATATCAAAAAATTCATGCTAGATTAAACAGAGGAAAATAATCCATAACCAGAAATTGACACAGCACAATGGCAGTGCTCAAAAGTAATCCTGTTAGGGATTCATCCAGGTAGTGTTATGGTCTGATATTAACTTTTTGATATCAACACAGGCATGCATTTTTTAACTGAATTATGTTACTGCCCTGTACTCATTGCCAGTATTGTAAAACTCTTGCTACAATAAAACTCTGGCCTCTGGTATAAAGACAGCTTGCTTTCAACTATAGAACATCCTTCTGTATTCTTTCAAGCTCCTTCGAACACTTTCACACAAAGAGAAATTTTTCCTGATATTCTCCTAGGCACTGTGAACTGATGGTCTGCACTTCTACACCTTCATAATCCTATGAAAGAGTTTGAGAAAAAAGGGAATAAACAATGCAGGATCCAGGTATTTCCCAGTAATGTTCACAAATGACACTCCTGTTCCTTTAACATAAAATAACAGCTAACAGCTGTTTCTCTAACAGCTTTTAGATAAAATAAATAAAATATGAAGGACTTAACCAAATAGAAACTTGTTCTAGCTGCTCAATTAGACTTTTCCAGAAATATTATATTTTGCCATCATAAACTGACTTTTTTTACTGTAGGAAACTAGAACATGACTAAAGGCCAGAGAAAGCCAGAGAAAGACAACTTTTTGCAAATGTAGCTTGCTTGCACTATCCTTTCTCCAAAAATTGGGATTTTGTTGATGATTTCAAGACTTGAAATCTACAGTTCCTTAGCTCCTTGTTTCTTCCCCCACCTCTCATTGTAGTTTGTTTAAATGAATAAAATGAAGTTTTGATCTCTATAAGAAACTCTTCAGCTTTTATACAAATTTGGTACCATCATGGAAAATTGAGATTGGTTTTTAATATAATAAAATAAAGGAAAAATATGGATTCATTCAGAAAACATCAATACAAATTTGAGTTAATCAAGCTAGACTTCAGGATTAAACCAAATGATTTTACTGAGCTATTAAAAAACTGTTTACATCAAGATTTCTTAAGAGACTCAAGATTTCTTAATGAGAGGAAAATATCTTGTCAGACCTATCAGATGTATAAATTAGTGTAAAGCTGTAACCATTCTGAAAATTTTAATATTTCAATTTCATGTTGACTTGAAAAATTAAAATTGAAGATTTTATTAGAACTGGAATCAATATTTATTTCCTTTATTGTTATCATATCACACCAAACTGTCAAAAATTATCAATATTTTAAAAATAAATTAATTTATGGATATGAAAAATTTAATTATTTACTGCAGTTCATAGTAGTCAAACATCAATGATGCAAAAACTGAATCTAGTTTTTCATATTCTAGATGAAATTAAGATTTTATTGGAGAATAAGATATCCATAGTCATAAGCACATACAAAAAGACACATTTAGAGTAT